AAAATAAAGAGATTTACAATCTCCTCAAACAAGACAACAATGTTCGGTATTTTCAATATATTTATTAAATTACAAAAACCTCAATTGATGGTTTCTGTTTTAAAATATTTCTTGATTTACACTAAAAATAATTTTTATTTCAATAAAATTATCTTTATTTTTCACTAATAAATTACAACAGTATAATCATAATTCGATATCAAATAATTCATATTCCAAATCATAAATATATTTATCAAATCTCAAAACCAACTGAATAAATTATTACTTTTACAATAAAAACATATTATTAAAAAAATAATAATCTGATTGACATCTCTTGAAAATATATAAACATTTTTAATTTTCTCTTTAATTCAACATTTGCAACATGTTTCAAGGTCATAATATTTATACATTTGTAAATAGAGTTATTAAAATCAAATTTTGATTGTAAATATTATAAAATTGTCTTATCTGCTTCATTTAAATGTGTATTAATTGGAATATTATTTGAACATTTTAATATAATATTTTTAGCAATAGCGCCATAAAATTTATTATCAATTTTTAACTGTAGAGATGAACAGAGCTGTAGGATAATTTTGTGAACCTTTATTAATAAAGAATATTTTGATTGCAACAGAATATTAACTGCATGAAGTAGATTTCCTACATGTGAAACTAATGCCAAATATGCTTCTGCCATTTCATGCACGAAAAAATTTTTCATAATTTTTGGACAGCTTTTAAAATTTTTATTTAAGAAGTATTTTTTTTAAGGGTTTGTAAAATTTTTAAATTCTATCAATGGCAGGTATTATGATAACCACCTGCCAGGTACATATCGCAACAACTCACACCATTCCAAGTCAGACCACTCCACCAACTCTTTTAATTCATTAACTCTTTTAGTTGATGAATTAAATTCGTTAAAACATCTTATTATAATATTTCGACATCCACATGCTGCCTCAATTCGGTAAATAAACTTTGGTTTTTGCCAAAATTTACAGAGGCATTATCAGCGCATAAAGCTGACATGCAATTAATTGATAACCCTGAATCAGCTATATTTATATTATGTGGTTAGCTACATCTTTGGATTTTTCACTATCCGAGGAAAAAAAATTAACGGTTTTATTGAAATGTTCTTATTCTTGTTGAAATAACGAAAAATATTTCCCTTATTAGATACATCTGTCAGAATTGCATATGGTTGTTCATCTTTCAAATCGTCTAGAATTGACCTCTATTATTCAGGTACTAAAACACTTGTGATAGCCTTACTCATTTTTGTTCTACCACAAGTAAGGTTTGCACTTATATTGGAGTCGTTAAATATCGTGGGAAATAGATTCGACCCACATTGTGATGATATAGCTCTGTGAATGTTGAACTACATGATAGATGTATACGATTTCTGCAACTGTAGTTGCATCTGTATTATTTATTATTTTGGAGAATATTTTTGTATTGCAATCGATGTTGATATACTCCTCTGTACTGATGAATGAAATGATGTTGATTTATTATTGGATAAAAATAAAGAAATTTACAAACTAGACATGTTTTTCGAATAAATACTTAAAATCTATTTTAAAAATATAAAAATAATCAATTAATATCTCTCAAAATTATTATTTACAAGTAGAAAGCTCGTCAAAAATGACGGGGACTGAGTTTTTATTCGTCTTTTTACGAAAGAGGTTACCTTTTATTTAAAAATCATATCCGTTTTATATAGTTTTAACCCACCCACCCCCCCCCCCCCACATACAGGTCAAGTCCAAACAATGTCATTGAGTCCAACCCATTAGGACTAAGAGTGGAAACTATTTTTTAAGTCAAAATATATTTAAATGAACTTTTACACTATATCAAAATTCTTTGTAAAAATATCACTAATTACATAAGACTAACATTTAACAATAAAAAATTTCAAGCCAAATCCAAGCTCACAATATTTGGAAAAAATTTTAAGCGTCCAAGACCTTATAATTTTTAAAAAAAATTCTCAAGCCTAGCTTAATAATTTTGAAAATTCCTAGACCCATAATTATTTGTAAAAGATATTCTAAAGTCAGATGCAAGTCAATTTTAATTTTAAGGAATTTTCCAAGCCCAGTCCTAACCATGATAATTTTGAAAATTTTTTCCCAAACCCGATATTTAAATTTCTAATTAATTTATCATCACATGAAGGAAAAATCTTCGATTTACTAATTAGTCTACGGGTTAACTCCTAGTTATATATGCACGTAATTTCCGTAATAAGGGAAACTGGAAAAGCCTGGGAAAACCACTTATTAGAGAATCATAACAAAATCAGGTCTGCCCTAATAATATTATAAGAAATTCTTTAATTGGAGATAACCCCAAAAATTAAGTTATGGAGAAAAATATGGATTGAAATTATGTCCAGCAACAATTTCAACAATTTATTTTTTATAATGCTTAATGATTAAAGTTTGTATCATTATTTGTTATCCATAAAATAAAAATAAATAATTCTTATTTTGTATTATGTTCAAGGTTATAATTATATTTTGATTTTATAAAAATAAATAAATCTTGAAATTTAAATGACGCTTGATCTATTTAAAAATAAATCAAATAAGAAAATTAATTTTGAATATTGTAATATAATTGATATAATGAAAATATAATGTATCATATTGTATTTTACATTTATAATTATTTTCACTAATAGCAGCTTCTTGAGTAATAATTGTTTTGAATGTTGGTATTTTATTGAGTAAATGTATTTTTTTTAAAGGTAGCTTTATAAAATATTAATAATAATATGAATAACTTGCAATTTTGTAAATAAGATATATTTAATGTATCACTTTGACATCCAATACTTGCATAGGTTGTAAAATTTTGTAAAAATAAATTAAAAGAATATTTAAGGTTTTACTTTGGCATTCTACATTGCATACTTAACTGAAGTTATAGGCTCATCTGTTGCATTTAAAAAAAAAATCTTGACTTATAAATATTTAAAAATAAAATAAATAAGAAAATTAATTTTGAATATTGTGATTTAATTGATATAATGAAAATATTGTGTGTCATATTGTATTTTACAATTATAATTATTTTCACTAATAGCAGCTTCTTGAGTAGTTGGTATTTTATTGATTAAATGTCATTTTTTTTAATGGTAACTTTATAAAATATTAATGATAATATGAATAATTGGTAGTATTTTGTAAATAAAATATATTTAACATTCAATACTTGCATAAATTTTGTATAGATAAAAAAAAAGAATATTTAAGGTTTTACTTTGGCATCTTACAGTTATATAGTTAAATGTTTGTAAGATAATGAAAAAAAAATAAAATAAAAAAATTAACAAATAAAAATAATAAAAAAATAAATACTTAACGATGGCATGACTTACCGATGACATGACGTCATGATGACGTAGGGAGGACAACGGAAAATTATAATATAGATATATTAAAAACGTTAAAAACTTTTTTAAAAAATTGCGGGAGAAATTAAAAAATTGCGGTAGATTTTTGCGGGAGATTTCCAATTTCAATAGTTTTGCGGGAGAGAGATGTCTGCGTGTAAACTAAAAAATTGTGGGAGTCTCTCGCTGATGGGGGGGGGGGGACGCAACCCTGATCCCTATAACTGATTTTTTAAATAAATTCTTTTTCTTGATTTCTATGCAATATTATAAATGGAGACTAGACGTAGCCAAGATTTTTATAGGGGGGGGGTGGAATTAATAAATTTCTGGGTGCTCTACTCCACAGATCCCTTTTTTCGCCTTTCGGACCACTTTTACCTGGGCCTACCCAAAAATTATCTTAGGTATATAGCTAGAAAATATTTTTTATAGAATAGAAGGTTAATAAACAACTTATTATCATTATTCAAAATGTATGAAATTAGTTACTAAGAGACCAGGGGGCTCAAAATATTTTTTTAAATAATTTATTTACAAAATTTCATTTAACTTTAACTCTTTTTTTGGCTAAAATTATCGAAAATTACCTTATTTTTTTTAGTTAACATTATTTTTTTTAGTGATATAAAAAAAATTCAAAATTTTGTGGGGGACTCTTCAAATTTTTTAAAAAGTTTGAGCCCATGCCCCTCTCCTTTCCCCTTACCCCAGTAGCGCTACTGCAGATGATATCTTAAAATAAGATAATTTTTTATATGGAGGATGTTTATTGCACAAAACGTGACATTGCCCCCTCCACATCCCGATGGCTACGTCTATGAACTTGACGATCTTATCAAAATGAAGATAATCATAATTAGGATTATCAATTTTGTATAAATCAAAATATTTTAGACTGCTGATTAAATTAGCGAGTATTTTCGAATCGTTATTAACTCTTCGTAAATTTTAGATTCAGAATGTTGTATGAGCAAGAAATAAATTAGCACTTTTTCCCTACAAATAGGCGTATGGCGTACGACTATCATCTCTCGTTATTTTTACAACACCCTGGTTAAGATAAGCTTAATTATTATAGCTTGAAAAATTTGCTCATATGACTGAAAGGTTTGGACTGTTATTTATCAAATCCAGGGGCTTAAATATTATTATTTGGGCTTAAATTTTGATCGAGCCGTTTTTATCACGCAGATTGGACTTTTTACTTAACTATTTAGAATTGCTCGGGAGATGGGTATGAAAGATAAATCCTAAATAAAATAATTAAAGTAATCATATGATCAAATTAAAACATTGTTTTTTTTAATACTAAATAAGTAATTACTATTTACTAGTCACAAAAAGAAACAGTGCTATTAATTGATTACACTTTTATAAAAGTTACTACCGATCGCTATTTTAAAACAACATTGGTTTTACGGTTGATTATAATATTTTTTACCCGACTTTATAATTTTATTGTTCCACTTCTATTTATAATTTTGCAATTTTAATTATTCATGAGTAATATTGTTTTTTTTAAAATTATTTTATATAGAAAAATTATTTGTGAATGTAGAATAAATTAATTACTTTTAGGTACGGTTTATATATAAAATCAGCTGCTTTTATTGTATCGAGCACATTTAGACATTATTAATGGCTGATGAACCACCATATCTCACTCTTGGTACAGAAGTTAGTGCTAAATTTAAAGGCGCTTTTTGTGAAGCAAAAATTAAAAAAGTATCCAAATCAGTCAAATGCAAGGTTTTTTTTAATCATATGTTTGCAAATTTAATTTTATAAAAAGGTAACATTTACTAATTCTACAAATAATTCCTCATACCAAATACCTGATGATGATATTCAAGGGAATAATTTACAAGTACTCAATTACTAATTCAATGATAAAACTAATGTAATTTACTTAAAGATTGGTGCCATGGTGAAAGCAAAACATCCTCAATTAAATGGTCAATTGTTTGAAGCTAAAATTGTTAAAATTATTGATAGTAGTGCTTACACAGTTGGTAAACATATATTTATAAAATTTACAAAGATAACCTTATTTACAAATAAAATTATTTAACTTGTAATAATTGGTAACAACATTATACATCTTAAAAATATAACTTATACCATTTTTTTAATGAAATTATAAAGAGTTTGATGATGGGGATGTTAGGGTGCTTAAAAGAAATTTGATATGCTTAAAGGGTCAAAAACATTTTCAAGAAAGTCAAGTAAAATTAAAAATTTCAAATTTAATCAGGCTTTCACATACTCTTACAAAATTAAAAATCTTCAAGATTTTTAATCTTTAAGATCAAAATAATGATTTTTTTCTGGAGTAGGCTTAAACAAAATTTTTGATGAAATTTATCTCAAATTTTTTTTATATAAAATCTTATGTGAATATATTTTTTTAATCAGATTTTTGGGGAAAATAAAACTTAGATAATCATTAAAAAATTATATTTAACATTATTTTTGTATATGATATGTGAATTTTTCAATTTATTGAATTTTATTTCTTGAGATATATCGAAAACTATTATTTTTTGTTAACTTTTTGCAATCAATAAAATTAAAAATGTAAACTGGCAAACACACCTACTGAGTTACAATTTTTTTTTTTCAGAAATATTTATATGATCATATGTATTAAATGCATGAAAATTTTTGAAAATATTTTAAAAAAAGATTTCTAAAATTAAGAGATAAAAATATATAGTGCAAAAATTCAGAGTTGTTAACACTACTTCTTAAAAGTAGCTAGCCCCTAACTCCCACTCCTACCTTCTCTAAAGGAGCTTCACTCCTACTACATATTTAAAAGGAGTTAGCTCCTGCTCCCTATTTTTAAAAGGAAGGGTGCTCCAGGTGTTTTTGAATAACAACTCTGCAAACTTTATAACTAGAAGACCATCATCTTTATTGAAATTTTCTTTCTTCTTGCCTGACTCAATTGGTTCTCTGGCTTAATGAATTATAATAATAAACTTTTTGTAGTTACTAATTTACAAAATATTATATATTTAAAATAAATAAAATTAACTATATATATATCTTGTTGATAGACATTAGATAAATTGCCACTAACTAATCCGGAATTATTTGGCACACCAGTGGTTACTAAAAAGTTGACTAGTAATATGAGCAATTCCTCGAGTCTTAGTAGCAGCAATAACAAGACTAATTCCAAAAATAGAGAAAAATCAAAAATGGATTCCATGTTAAAGGATAATAAAGAATACAGGTAATTCATCATCATCATTATTTTAAATATAATAAAATTAATAAAAGGACTTGTATTTCTTTAGACCATGTCCAGAACATCAAAAAATTTAATATATAAAAAAATTTAAACTTTATTGTAGAACACAAAACAAACCTTATTTGCGAAATTCAAAGTTTTAAAAACTTTTGAAACCTTCGATTCTTATTATTTTTGTTTTGAAAAAAAAATTATTGAAGAAAATCCCAAAGTTTATCAAAAAATATTACCCCTTCTTCGACAGCTGACAAAAAGATCAAACGGGATAAACGGCATACAACAGCTATAACCACAAAATTACCCGAAAGACACAAAGATGGATCCCATCATAGGGTTAGGGTAAACTGTAATTTATTATAAATTATACTTAGAAATTCTTGAATTGTAACTATAATTCTAAGAAAAAAAAAGGTACTCATAAAATATATTAAAAAAATTTTACAATTAAATTGAGATTTGAGAACCTACGTATAAAAATTATCTGGGTTTACCAACGACATATAATAATACTTAGACTGACGATGCATTCGTCAAAAGGGTGTACCAATGAAAACAGCTGGGGATGCCATTTTAGTTACCCTTATATCGGTATTAAAAGGCCAATTTATTCCTACGTCTGACGTAAATTTTTTTAAAGAATCGCCCGATCATCGAGAAAATAAGGAAGCATGTCATCAATTTTAATATATGTTTATAAACATGTGAATAATTACTATATGGGTTACCGAAATGGCGGCTCCAGCTGATTTGCATTCAACGAAGCTTTCAAAGGCATTATTACGAATGGAGTGTCAGTCTAAGTAATTATTATATATCATGGGGGGTTACCAAGAATCATCAAAAAGTCAGTTATTTTAAAATGTAAGCTAAAACTGATTGATGAAACAAGAAGAATCTTAAATTTTGCGCGAACATTATTGAGTGAAAGATTAATCCGACTTAAATATTGTTAATTTTTTTTTTAATCGTGTGGTTACATTAGAGGTCTGGGGATAGTTGTTTTTTTATAGCCCTCTTCACCATTATTTTTTTAAATCATCTAACTTTGGCCAATAACGACTTGGCCAAATTTTATATACCACCTTCAATCTTTAAATTTAAGCTCAACTTAGGGGTTTAAGTCAATTTATTTTTAAGCCAAAAAGCTTAGCATAGTTCTAACGAAGTGTTGGGCCTCGTTTTATAAAGCGAGAGTATATCGTAGTTTATAATGACCCGAATGATGTTATGAAACGAGCTACTACATCGTATTGACGCATTTCGAAAATCACATGTTGGGGCTAAACGAGACCGCAGCCGAAGTTAGCTGCTCACGGACTAAAATTAAATTTCAAATTTTATTTTTGTTCTCAGGTGAAATCTGTCCTAGATGTCGACAAGGAATCCGATTCGCAAAAGGATCATCACAAAACATTTTCGAAAGAAAAAGAAAACGTGGCGGTGAAAAACGTGGCTAAAGATAAGGACGCGAGTAGGGAAAGGAAAGACACGGCCTCAGAACGGCAGGGAACGCTGGAAAATCTGGAGGAAAATAGCGAAGACGAGGACGAGGAGGAAGAGGAGAGTCTGGAAGAGAAGGACCATTTCGTGGCTCAGCTCTATAAATTTATGGAGGACAGGGGTAATTCCATTTTTGAATTTTTTTAAAATATGTTTTTCATTGTTTTCTATCACAAAAGGCTGATTTTCAAACTTTCAAATCTAATTAGGTTTTTTGTAAAGAAAGAAAGAGAGAAAGAAAAAAGAAAGAAAGAGAGAAATGAAAGAAAAGAAGGAAAGAATAGAATGAAAAATATACAATAGAAAAATAGAATGATTAGGGAATACCGTTATTTAATACATTTTACCCTATACTTATACGTTATAGAAGCTATTATTTTTTACACGAACTCAGGAACTCCCCTTAACAAATTGCCAACTATAGGGACGACCGATTTAAACTTCCACAAGCTGTACAAAGTTGTCTCGGCTCTGGGTTATTATAATAAAGTTTGCAAAGGAGGAACAATATATGCCTTGAATTTTTTAAATTACGGAATATAATTTTAAAATGATTTATCTTGTAGCTATTATCCCTCCTTCTAATACTGGTTAAATGGATTTATTATAGAAGAAGTCATATAAGAAGAACCTTTCTTTCTCTCTCTCTTTCTCTTTTTTTCTTTCTCTTTCTCTCTCTCTCTTTCTCTTTCTCTCTTTCTCTTTCTCTTCTCTTTCTCTTTCCCTTTCCCTTCTTCCTTCCTTTCCTTTCCCTTTCCCTTTCCCTTTCCCTTTCCCTTTCCCTTTCCCTTTCCCTTTCCCTTTCCTTTCCCTCTTCCCTTTCCCTTTCCCTTTCCCTTTCCCTTTCCCTTTCCCTTTCCCTTTCCCTTTCCTTTCCCTTTCCCTTTCCCTTTCCCTTTCCCTTTCCCTTTCCCTTTCCCTTTCCCTTTCCCTTTCCCTTTCCCTTTCCCTTTCCCTTTCCCTTTCCCTTTCCCTTTCCTTTCCCTTTCCCTTTCCCTTTCCCTTTCCCTTTCCCTTTCCCTTTCCCTTTCCCTTTCCCTTTCCCTTTCCCTTTCCCTTTCCCTTTCCCTTTCCCTTTCCCTTTCCCTTTCCCTTTCCCTTTCCCTTTCCCTTTCCCTTTCCCTTTCCCTTTCCCTTTCCCTTTCCTTTCTTTCTTTCTTTCTTTCTTTCTTTCTTTCTTTCTTTCTTTCTTTCTTTCTTTCTTTCTTTCTTTCTTTCTTTCTTTCTTTCTTTCTTTCATTCTTTCTTTCTTTCTTTCTTTCTTTCTTTCTTTCTTTCTTTCATTCTTTCTTCCTTTCTTTCTTTCTTTCTTTCTTTCTTTCTTTCTTTCTTTCTTTCTTTCTTTCTTTCTTTCTTTCATTTCTTCCTCTTTCCTTTCCTTTCCTTCCTTCCTTCCTTCCTTCCTTCCTTCCTTCCTTCCTTCCTTCCTTCCTTCCTTCCTTCCTTCCTTCCTTCCTTCCTTCCTTCCTTCCTTCCTTCCTTCCTTCCTTCCTTCCTTCCTTCCTTCCTTCCTTCCTTCCTTCCTTCCTTCCTTCCTTCCTTCCTTCCTTCCTTCCTTCCTTCCTTCCTTCCTTCCTTCCTTCCTTCCTTCCTTCCTTCCTTCCTTCCTTCCTTCCTTCCTTCCTTCCTTCCTTCCTTCCTTCCTTCCTTCCTTCCTTCCTTCCTTCCTTCCTTCCTTCCTTCCTTCCTTCCTTCCTTCCTTCCTTCCTTCCTTCCTTCCTTCCTTCCTTCCTTCCTTCCTTCCTTCCTTCCTTCCTTCCTTCCTTCCTTCCTTCCTTCCTTCCTTCCTTCCTTCCTTCCTTCCTTCCTTCCTTCCTTCCTTCCTTCCTTCCTTCCTTCCTTCCTTCCTTCCTTCCTTCCTTCCTTCCTTCCTTCCCTTCCTTCCTTTCCTTTCTTGATATTTTTTTCTAATTTGTTCTTTTCCTCCTAAGGTGACCAATAACGAAAAGTGGAACGAGGTTTGCCAAAAAATGGGGGTATTCAAGCAGTGCGATTGGCCGAAGTCTCTAGTCGTTAAAAGGGTTCAAGCTTTTTACAAAAAGTTTCATTTTTTTTGATATATTTATAATTGCGTTTTTTTTATTTGTTTAATCACGGTGGCCTCTTGAGATATGTCGAGATATGACAAGTACCCTTTTGCGATCGAATAATGATCAATTTTTGTATGCTATTAAATCTTCTTTTGCATTCTAATTTTGTCCTTCGTCCATACTTCATAATATATAGTAAACTGCTCGTTTTGAGCCGATTTAAAACGGCTAACTCAGTATTTTAGCTAGAAAAATATCGCTCTTAGCCTCGAGATTTCGTTGATATATGTTTAGACCTTTGTTCCTTGTACGAGCATAATGTTTAGGCTTGCGTGATATTTTTCTGAATGAAATAATGAAGTTTGACGTTTTTAAAAATCGGCTCAAAAGGAGCCGTTTAACAACTACTTCATAAGTGCCCCCTTTTGCGATTTTAATATTATTATCCCTTGGATGATTAGTCTCTCATTCCTCAAATTATTTTAGCCATGATTGGAATCAAAAGATATCCGATAATTATTAGCAGAGTTGTTAAAGTAGCTCGCTATCTTTTTTGGTAGCTATAGCTAATAGCCGCTACTTTTTTTAAAATTATTTAATTTTTTAGCGCGCTACTTCGCTACTTTTAAAAAATATAATGAATGTAAGTATAAACATGAAAATTTAAATATAATATCATAATTAATTATAATTTTTATAATTTATTATTTAATTTGGAAATTTAAATATATTTTCAATTTTTAATTTATATTTTCAATCTGTGTTAATAATCTAAAATGGCATCGCCCATGGTTATCCAAATTCTTGAAAGTGATTCAGACATGGAAGATTCAATGGAAGAAAATGTACTTAATAACTCTAATAACGATTTCCCATTCCCTAGATTTGAAAAATTTTTTAAAATAAATATTAAAACAAAATCTGGATTCAAATTCCTGTGCTTAAAATGTAAAAAAAATATATCATCAAATCAATCGAGTAGCTATAACCTGAAGAAACACCTAAAGGTAAATTGTTATTTTTATATTATAATATTATTTATTTTATTAGACTGTTCACGCCAATTGCTATAAGGAAATAGAGAAACATATAAAAAATTTTGGTATAGGAGAATCTTCATTCAAAAAGACAGATACTATCCAAACCAAATTAACTGACAATAAACATGCCAATATTTCACAAAAATTGGCTGATAAAGTAATTGTTGATTTTATTATTGACACAGTTCAGCCATTGTCCTTGGTTGATAATTCATCATTTACTATGATGATTAAAACTTTATCCCCTGGCACAACAGTTTTATGTCGCCGACACTTATGGATAAAATAGACGACAACTTCAAAGTGATGAAAGATGCTCTAATAGTAGAGTTATCAGATATATCTTATGTATGTACCACGGCAGATAGTTAGACACATAACAGAAGGTAAAAACTTATTTATATTTATAAATTGATCTGATTAAATATTTTTAGAGCTTCCTTGCCCTCAAGTGCTAGTGTCGAGAGATTATTTAGTAAAGCAAAGCTTATACTTTCTGATCGTCGCTCTGGACTTGGGGATGATAATATTGAAATGATATTACTATTAAAATGCAACAAATTAAAATAAATATTTATTTATATTTATTTTTTTATAATCTAAACTAACTATATTTTTATATTTATAAATGTTGATTTTTATATATTATTTATTTTACATTTACATTATAAGCAAAAAAAAAATAAAAAAAATTTGTTTCATTTGTTTCTAAAAATTTTTTTATAAAAAGTAGCTTAAAAGTAGCTAAAGCTACTTTTGAAAAAAAGTAGCTAATAGCGCGCTACTTTTTTTGACAAATAGCGAAAGCGGTAGCGCGCTACTTTTAAAAATAGCGTTTAACAACTCTGATTATTAGATGAAAAAAAAAGGTTTTGGATATGACTGATTTTAATTTGTAGAAAACGAATTTAATGATTTCCTAACCTCATTTTTACGCAGGGCCAGGAAAAATATATAAAAAATAAAAAAAAATTTTTTTCCCTGAAGGTATCTTTTAAGATTCGAAGAATTTTCCCGTAAACTTGGATGCACCCTCATGACACTGCCTATTAGTTCGGTGAACACGTCGACTTTTAAGAGTAACAGTAGTTCCGGCGGTAGTGCAAGCTCCGTATCCCTGGCGGCAAATTTAGAATCTCATCACGCGTCCGAGAGGGATAAAACTGTCGTCACTTCCGGTAACGGCGTAAACAGTGGCCATTATCGCAATTCGCTCAACTTAAACGTCATAATGTCCGCCACCGACAACAGTAACGCCAGTCATAATATCCAAGGTAAATTTTAAAAAAAAGTTGTTTATTTTATAAAATTGAAAAAAAAAAGAAGAGAAGAGAAAATCGTTTTATTAAAAAAAAATAATTGTCAATAAAATTATTTTACGCGCGCTTTGATTTTGTCATCCATTTAAAAAAAAGATTTTTACCCTAACATCAAACAACCAAATTTCTGACTTCCGATTATTATTTAAAATTAAAAATGATTATTTTTGAATAAAAAATGAATATATTTGTGAATAAAAATATAAATTTTTGATTAAAAATGAATATATTTTTTTAAATACCATATTATATATATAATTAAAAATTTTTATGCGAATCATTTTATTTATTCCGATTATTATAGGTAGAAGTTTGATAAGGGAAAAACGCTTCGGTAAAGTGCTCGACAAAAATAACAAATCGCCCACGATCCCCCCAAGTAAATCGTTAGGCAGTGACCTACCCGCTAAAACGAGCGATAGGGGAACCTTCAAGAGCGGATATAAGGATAGCGGCGGAGGGAAAATGAGGACCTCCTCGTCTTCCTCCAATTCCCTCTCCTCCATCTCTTCCACCGATAATATTCCGTCTACCAGTGGCTCGTTAGCCAATCAAGAAGACGCGGCGGCGTTTACCCCAACAACCAAAGACCCAAAGGTGAATACCTACAAGGCAAATGACGATACCGCCGAAAGAGAAGGCGGTAAGGCCGAATTAAGTGACCAATTTAAGTACAGCGCGAGTTACCTGTACCTCAAAAGAAAGAAGAGTTTGCAGAAACTTTCGCTTAAAAGTTCCAACAACGTCAACGTTACCCGAGATAATATCAAAGACGACTCCAACACAAAACTCCACGAGGAAAATTTTAAAGTTGATAGCCGGAAGACTGATCATTCCAAGATGAATGAAGGTACGTTAAATATTTAGAAGTTTTATAAATTTACTTTTTTTTAAAATAATATATTACTCGTTGCGGTAGTAGATAGTGATCGTGCGGTTAGGAGAGACAAAAAGGCGAAATTGAGAGACGGCGATAGTTCTAACCAATTCGACGATGCCAGACATAGCGGCGTCAACACCGCTAGCCTCAAGCGAACCGCCAAAGATATAACTGCCGATGATAAAGTCGAACCGAGATTACTCTCCAGCGACCAAGAGAATGAAGCCAAAATGGTGGACCAACATAGGGCCCACAAAAAGAAAGTCGTCAAACATTCTCTACCAGCCACTGATTCCAAGGAGACTATTCTCGCAAAGTCCGAGGTGCTAAACCCCGCAATTGGCGGATCTCATCCGAAAACGGTGAAAGCTGTTGACGAAAAATCCATCAATATAAGCCAACGCAGCGTGTACGATTTTACCGACATCGCCGATTTTACCGTCGGCGATTTTTGCCGCAAACAAGAAAGTTATACGGAAAACATCGTCGACGAAAAGAATCCCGAATTCGCGACTCGATCAGCGCCTATAATGGGCCCATATCTAAATACGCCGTTAATTGACATAAACGCTTCCGTATTTTCTTTACCGGATATCGGCGCCACTCGATCCGGTCTCGATTTTGAAATCAAGGCACCTTCTTCCCATGATGAGTTCGAAGGTCCCCAACAAAAATTCGATGACTCGTTCAGCGTTCCTAACGAAGTCGATAAAAGCGGCCCTCAAGATTATTTGCCGCTTATCGCCGACTCCATCAAGTTCGAAACGGAGATCGGGGATGACGTAGTCATCAGTAGTAACGATAGTCAGATCAGGGACAGCTTCGTCGATAAGGTAAAATATTTTTCTTCTTCTTCAAAGAAGTTACTTGTCTCATTATTTTTTTTTTGCGTTCTAGTAATGGAAGCCATCTAAAGATTGAGTGTTGTTTTGAAAATTAGCTTCGTTCCCGTACTCATCTCAATTTATGGTTCCTAAAATGTCTGAACAGAGCAATCTATTCAGAAGTGCAGCTAGTAGTGTTGCTAAATTACCTAACCTTGACCACCTCTACTGAGGCTTAGCCAAGCTTTAGGCTCAATATATTGATCTAAGTTGAGTCTCAACTTGAAGATCGATTAGAATATTCTTGGATAAAAATATGGCTACGCGGTTTTATAGTTGACTGAAGTTAGAACAACTCTAGCAGCTAGGGTATCCATTTTTTAGTGGGAGGGAGGGGGGGTGGTTATTAAAATGCTCTAACGGTACATACCTTTATAAGACGCTTTAAGAAGTACGTACTTAGCAGAGTTGTTAAAAGATACTTTTTAAATGGATCTAGATACAAATACATCATCTAAAATAATATATAGATACGGATATTTTAATCAAAAATCTATCTAGATACAGATACCACATTTTCTAGATACAGGATCTAGATAACAACTCTGGTACTTAGTCCGTATATTTTTTGGATCCCAAAAAAATAGCGTAGAATTTCGGGCGGTTATTTTAGAATTAGTGTCGTTAAATTTAGCCGGTTTTAAATTAAGATTTTAGGTGATATTAATTGTGCCTCGAGACTTCATTAATAGGTGTCCCTAACCTTCCATGCCAATTCCCAGGTCGACTCCCGTTTTTTTCTTAAAGAGGAAATGGACACGCTATAACTGTATACATCACCGCTAAATCTCGCTAACCGTGAATGCAGGGTAGCGCGACCACCCAACTTTATAAAAAAAATAATAATTTTGAAATTTAATTTTCACTAATTTAAAATAAGAATGTAAGAGTTCTAAGAACATGCAAATTTTTTTTCTGATTTAAAAAAAAAACGTTGATTATTATAAAATACGATGTTATTATTAAATTATGAATATTAATTAAAAAAAAAAATTTAAAAGATAACTGAATCATAAAAAAACTAAAAAAAAAATTTTTCGATTACATTTCAAAAAGGACAAAATTCTCGAATCGGAAGAAACCAATACCGGAAACGGTAACGGCAACACCAGGTCGAGCAGACGATTAGAAGCTAGGAAAAGGCAGACGACGATCCTTAAACTCGGACCGGAAAATTTGTATTCCATATCGGAAATCACGAAAGTTATTCCGTGTTCAAACGAAAATAAGGAACCCGCGATTTCTAACCCGATAAACGAGGAGGGATTCGGCGCGCTTCCAGCGAAAGATTCCGAAATAAAGTAATAAAATCCGCCATTTTTTATATATCGAAACCGGAAATGGGGAAAAACACTGGCAAGCCGACATTTTGGGCCAATCTCATCCGATTTTTTTACGCATGCGCTTTTTAATAAATTATTTATAAAATTATGAATTTTAAAAGGACATCCGATGCTGAAAGGAATCCACCCACTTTAATAGTCGATCAAAATGCCCCACCGGCTGAAGATAAAGTTTGTTGTTTTTTAAAAAATGATTTAATAAAGAATATGGTAGTAAATAGCAGAGTTGTTAAAGTATCTAGATACAAGTATCTAGATCCTGTATCTAGATATAAAAATGTGGTATCTATTTTAGACGATGTATCTGTATCTAGATCCATTTGAAAAGTATCTTTTAACAACTCTGGTAAATAGGGACAACATCCGGACTTAATTATTTATTTATTTTTTAAAAGAACTGTTTTTTTATATAAATATAAAAAACGGAAAAAAATCATACCTTAAAAATTGTTTTTTTTTAAAATTATTTCTTGAACTACTTCTAATAGCGTGTTCGAATCGCGCGATTTTAACGAGGAAATCGCAAATAAGCTTGCGATTATCAATATCGCCTCAATTTAAACGAGGATGGGGTGTGAGTTTTTTTTTTGAATTTATCTTATGAATGTAAGAAATAACGGGGAACATAGCAAAAAAAAAACTCTTATTTTTTTTAAAAGAGGTCCGAACCCACCCCGAGTCCCTATTAATATCGGGTTTGATGAGTTGCCCGTAAATCGGGCTCCGTTTGGTCTGCGGTCTCGGTATTTCCAGCCCGACAATTTTAAATTTCCCGAACCCGTGGATCGAATAGGGGAGGAGTATGTAGGCTTACCTCGTAACAAAAAAAAGGAGAAAAAGTTTAACAATAACCATTTTAATTACATTTTAAAAATAATATATATATAGACAAGTTGGAAGAGCTGTATCTTTAGACACTAGGAGTAGAAATTTGAAAAATAATTAATTGATTTAAAGGGCTCGTTTTGAGCCGATTTTTAAAATCGGCAAACTCTATATTTTAGCCAGAAAAACATTGTCCTAAGCCTCGAGATTTCGTTACTAGATGTCCCTAACCTTCGTTCCTTCTACAAACAAAGTCTTCAGGCTTGCGTAGTATTATTCTAGATAGGATACCGAGTTAGCCGTCATAAAAATCGGTTCAAAACGAGCCGTTTAACAACACTAAAATAGGTATTGCCAAAAAGGAAATGTATTTTATCGCGAATTTTGAACATAAACCCTACCAATATTTTTAGAAATTTTTTTAATTATCGTAATCAGACACCTGCAGAGGTACCATTTGTACGGGCCCGGCCCTGAATGTCAATAAATTTTCGGACCGGCCCGGGTTTTTTTTTAAAAAAAATATAATTTTATTTATTTTTGATTTTTTTTATAGCAAATAATGGCGTTTTCTTTCCCCGTTTTTTTTATATGTAAAAAAACAGTTCTTGTTTTTTATTGTTTTTTTTGTTTTGTTGAACAAAAATAATATTAAATAATGTGTTTATTTAGATCGCGGAAGAATCTTATCCCATTTCAGAAATAAAGATGGCCGATGAAGAAAAGTTTTTTTTTTTTTTAAAATATATAATATATATATATATATTCTTTCTTTCTTTTTTTTTAAAGAAAGATATAATTTTGGCGGTATTTAAGACAGAGTTTAAAATAATGTTTTTTTTTTCAAAGATACCAAATCTTTTAAATTAAAATTTGTTTTTGAGGAATGTTCTCGAATAAAATTAAATCAAATTTTACCTTGAAAATATTTTTATGAATCAATTCTTTCGCGATTTTTTTTTTAATACAAAAAATAATTTCACACATGAATATAATTTATTCTTAAATTTTAGTAAAGACCACGAACTAGCCAATGAGAACGCAGTCAGCGTTACTAGGCCAGAAAAGTTAAACGATGATGAACAAGTAATACTAATTTTTGTTTTTATTATAAATTCCTGATAATCAGGGTTGTGCATTTGACCGGTCAAATACGTTTCGGTCAATTGACCGACATTTGACCGGTCAAATATGGTCAAATGTGGTCAAATTCAAATATATAAACTTTATTTTGAATATAATAGTAAAACGAATCTATAATATTCATCTTTTAAATTCATTGTCATTCAATAACTAACGTATAGCTATCTGTAGCAGAGTCTTGTTCTGATTCATATTCAATTTATCATATTCTTTAATATTTTTTAATCAATTTTCCTGATGTCTTAGATCTTCAATCGATTTCTATTTTTTTCATAAAATCTTGGTCATCACTACCTTGTAAAATAGCTAATTCTTGAATTATATCACATACTTCATTAATTTCACTACTAGTGAGTTCTCCTCTTGATATTGTGGACCCAAAAAATAGGCAAACATTGTGATCACATGTATTTGCATCGTTTTTTCCTTTTTTAAACATATTTTTAATTCATTTTTCCTTTAAATTTTTTTAGAGTATTTGACCGTATTTGACAGGTCAAATACTCCTCCGGTCAATTGACTGAATTTGACTGGTCAATTGACCGACTTGCCAACCTTTGCTGATAATAATACATTTCGAAATTTCATTGCGTGAATTGAAATTGAAAGATTTTGTTTACAATTTATTTTCTTCATATGCCAACCCCAAGGACCTATAATAATACCTTAACTGACGATGCATCCGTGATAATGCATTTGAAAGCGTGGTTGAATGCAAAAATCAGCTGCATGCGCCCATTTTTGTAACCCTTATAGTAATTATTCTCGTGTTTAAAAAAAAACTACTATTAAATTGATAACTTGCTTCCTTTATTATAACGATGATCGGACAATTCTTTAATAAAGTTTGCGCCAGATTTGGGAATAAATTGGCCCTCTCGTTTAAAATTTTTTTATAATATCGAATATGCATAATCAAAATGGCGTCCCCAGCTGTTTTTCATTGATGTGCACTTTTATTGAATGCATCGTCAGTCTCGGTATCATTATACGTCATTGACCCTACCCTCATCTTACTACTTTTTATTTATTTTTGCCTTAGAAGCAAGCACTCAAGGAATCGCTAAATTTATCATCCACAATTTCTTCCAAACTCTTTGACGGTAAATTAAATGATTACACATATATATATATTTCTTTCTTTCTTTCTTTCTTTCTTTCTTTCATTAGGACATTATATATACGTCACCTGGAAAACATTGGTTACTTCCAATGGGGAAAAAAAAATAAAGAGCCCTCATTATATATTTTATTTAATAAATTAATAGTCTTTTTTGGTTGTTGTTACTGAAAACATATGGTAGCAGCTTTTTCCTGCCCAACATTTTGGACACTTGCTTTAAAAGGTGGATGGATATTATTGATCATCAACGCGCCCAAATCAAATCTTACTAATGATTAACCACCTATATCTCCAAAATTTCTCGAAGTCGATTTTTCCACATTTAGTTTTTTTAAAGATAAAAAAAAACGTAAGTAGAGAGCATAATCAGGTGTAGGAAATTTCAAATATCCTGATTTTTTGCCGTATAAATTTCTACACGACTACCCGTGACCTTAAGGAAAATAAATGCTAGAAAAATAGCGACTGGAACATTTCCACTTTCGTTGGTGGTGAATACATCCTCACCTCGATTGTCATGTCATAACCAACGTTTTATTATAAATTTGGCTAATTACTCACCTATTTTCGTTCATTAAAGTTGTCTTGCTATGTCTAAGAGGAGATTAAGTAATTTTGGAACGCATAACCTAACCTCATATTTTTCCTCAAACCACTCCATGAGTTTAGATTCGGGAAGATTCACGTCTGCTAACCAATCTGTCTCAGTGCCTCACTCCTGTCCACTTAGTTCGACTGATAGATCCATAACTTGCCCCATGGATTGTTACTGTTTTAATGAACTCAACTAATTCGTATTATGACGCTAGAATACGAGATCAAGGTGGTATATTGGGAGTTTCATATTTATAACCGGCTTCTTGTTTTCATCGAGAGCACTAATTTTCCTTTTCCGAGTCGTCCGGGCTCATGCTTTCAGACGGATCCTACTCAATGTCATTTCCGCTTACATAGCCCTGCCAAGTTAGATAGGCCCGTTAATTTTATAATATTAACGAGCCCAGGAAAGACCGAATCTTTTGACCCCTTTCAAATATTATAAAATCTCACACTTAGGGGCATGCACCGTGACCGAGTAAATCCTTTAATTCCAGCTTCGGAGCTGCTAAGGATACACTAATTTTTACGAATATTATATTACAGAATGTTGGGAGTGCAGACGCTTTTGTATTTTAAAGGGAAAAAAATCTCAGTTTCTAATCGTTTGCAACGAATTTAAGAGGACCTTGGCATTCGCTAGGTGTTATTAAAGTCTGGATCTACACGCGAGCGTTCCGATGAACGTCAAAGTGTAAATATGATTTGGCGTCCCCGCTGACTAACGAATGCCGGAACTAAAATAAATCCCCTAAAGCATGATCAACCAATAGAATCGAAAAGAAGTCGGACCTATGTGTACAAGGGTCGTAATTAAGAATTTTTTTTTCTTAGGAGAGTTACTGGGAGGAGGGCAATTTGTTCTCCCATATTTTGATCAAATTTAACCGGAAATGGCATATTTCGATCACTTCCTACATTTAATGAATTAGCTGATAAATAAAAATGCGCAATATATCATAGCAAAATATAAATATGTTAATTGGTAAATGACAATATTAATCATAAATTATATAATATATTAAGACTAATTTATGTAATTTTTTATAGATTTTTTTAAAATTATAATTCACTTCTAAGTGTAAGCAGATGGCCAAAAATGCAAAATGAACAATATTTCATTGGGAGATGGGGCAAGGCTACAAGTACCCCCGGGCGGGTAAATTCGTGTCTAGCGATGATTTATTGGGTGAATTCAATTGGAGAAGGGGAAATACCTAATATTTGGCGACATATCAGCTCCCAGGGGTTTTTATTTTTCCCTACCCTACCCTCCATTCTTTTTTATAGACTATTTTCTATATAATATAAAAGAATTAAAAAGACCAACTATCGTTGTATTATCAAACCTGAATTGATTACGCTTCATGTTTAATATTTCAAATAGGTTTATGACCTAGGTCTCAGACCAGGTGACGTCACTAGAGGTGGGGCTATTTAAGGGCTCGAGCCCATCAAAATTTCGGAGTCTGTTTCCAAAAATACGAATCTTTGAGCAGAAGAGCGCCATTAAGTTCCGACAAACTGGAAAGGTTTAGTTTTGTTCCTGTCTTAAGGAATTTGAACACGTGTCTAATTTGTTTCGTAACATATTTCGAAAAAAAATTTTTTTATCAGATCATTTTAAAAAGTTTTTTTTATTTGTATTGATTTAGATATGCTGAAAAAGGAGGAAGATGGCTCCATAGCTGACGATGAACGTGAAAACAATAAATCTTTGATTAATAACGACGATGCTGGGAATATATTCAAATCTTTTGGCGGGAATATGGGCGTTGATTTGATGAACAGCACCTTTGCTTCGGGTATAGGCAACCATTAGCTTATTCCTTAAAATAAGGAATTTATTTTCGATTTCCCCTAATTTTGACTTGAATATTATGATCAGCGCCATTTTTAATCTACCATAGTTCTAGACTGATTGATAATTTATTCCATTAAAATGCATTTTACTAATGCAGTCTCACGCAGGAGTCAGCTGTAGACATCATTTTGTAATCTACGCCGAATAGTGCGGATCACAAATGGTGCCTTTAGCTGATTACGATGGGTGCCTTCAGCTTGGTGTTGTTAAAAAGCCAGATTAAAGCTGCCCGATTCGAATTTTAGCCATGAGATAATGTTGTGTAAACCTCAGGATTTGGCAAGTAGAAGCCCAACCCTATCTGCCCATCTATCAGCTAAATCACCAAGATTTCACTATATTGGACCCTAATCGGGGGTTTTTTTTAACAACACTACATCAGCTGATTACTATTGGGTGCTCTCACGTTTAACGAGTTAATCATCAATTTGAGTAATAATATCTTTGATTTTTATAATAATCCGTAATTTTTTTTGTTTATAAAAAAAAAGAAAAAGATGAGATAAACGAAAGTAAGGATAAAATAACCACGCCTTCATCCCAAAGAAAAAAATCCCAAACGATTTTCGCGCTCCCACCGGAAATACAAACTAATTTCGTCTGCACGTACGATTTTCTTGCTCTAGGTTTTTTTTTTTTTAAATTACATCTATAAAATTTAACTTCTGATAAATTGTTGATTAAGTTTTTTATATCTTTTATATAAAAGTATATATTTGAGAACAAAAAAACTACTTTTCTTTAAAAATTCGCCTGAATTCATAGTGGAGGCGATTTAACAGCTGTTTGAGATTACAGATGTTATATTTACAGAATTTGATCATTTCTTTTTATTAAAATACTAAAATAATTTAAGTTTAGAAAAATCACATGACAATTTTTTGTCAAGTCAGTGGATCATTGAAAAAAACACGTGATATTTATTTTATATAATCTTAATTTTTTTTTTGGAGTTTTTAAAAAAAAATATATAGCAAATCAAATATTATAAATTTTAAACTATGATAAGCGCGATGATGCTAGATAATTAAGTAAAATATTTGAATAAACGTGAAATGTTTAAACAATAATGCAAAGTATAATTTTAAGGAAAAGCAAAATATGTATATAAATTCATGGCATCAAGTTGATTTATTAAAATTTGGATGCGACATAATTGTTTTCTTACCGTTCTCAGAATGATGGCCCTCAGATCCTTCCATGCACGCTCGATTCGCTGAGTATGTTGAACAATATTGTTCTTAGTGAATGGGCCCATTTTCTCCCCTTTTCAATACTATTTTGTCAACATGTGTGACGAATAAGATAATCCATTATCCTTTTTTAAATGTTATATTATATGATATGGTGTGAAGTGAGTGATATTGAACGAACCAAATTTCGATACGATTGAGCGTAAGTAACGCCTGCTTATTTATAATATTTATATATTTTCAAAAAAAAAATGTCATTTTCGAAGAGTGTCTCTTGGCCTAGTCGGATGAGTGAGTGTACCTCAGTCCGAAGGTTCTGGGTTCGAATCCAGTAAAGATTATTTTTTTTAATTTTTTTTTTTCTGAAGCCCAACATGGGGAGGATATATAGTAGATCGGGAATTAGACCACGTAATATTAAAAAATAAATAGGTCTTTGCTACATGTTGACCATGGTATACGTAACTACCTTTTAAAGATGCCATGTAGTATAAATTGAAACATTTATGACTCAATTTTTTTTTTTTTAGAAAATAAAAATGATTGGCGTCCCGTGTTAAGATACGGATAAAATTCAAGTCATATCTTTTTCTTGAACTCTAACTTATATCGCGATTTATAGCGTGCTCCACGATAAAAATAGAAAGATAAATATTTTATGTGGATACGCTACACTACACGCTTGTCGCCCTCTATAGGGCAGAGCAGCGATCTAGGTTAGGCCTGAACGAGCTATAATAACAATTTACAGCCCTTGATCGTATCATTTGCTACCATTGCATTATTTAGGTGGTTCAAATCTCTAAAAAATTTTCTAACTTTATTATATATATTTATATATGTGTGTTTATCAAATTCTAACTTGCCTTTAGATTCCAACTTGTTATTGAACGCAAAGATTAGTGCTACCAAGACGAATATCAATACGTTGAGGAAGGTTTACCAGAAGCATAAATCCAAAGTTTCAGAAATCGACAAAATTCTCAAAAATATTCAAAAAATGGAAGGTAATTTTAATTTTGTGTTTAAAAGAAGAAATAACCTTGTTATATATATATATATATATATATAATTAAAATATTAACCCTTGTCCCTCCTCACCACCACCAATGTCGCTTTCGCTTATTGCAAGTTATTTATCCTTCGTAAATCAAGAATAATGGTGTTTCGGGAATCTATTCAAAATATCATTAATTCAATAATTTTTAAGAATTTTACAAATGTAATTTAATAATGATCAAAAATTTTTTTTTTTTCCAAATCATAATAATCATGTTATCATTATTATTTAATTCCAACCAATCAACGATATGCAATATTGTTGATTGACGGTTGCTATTAAAAATTATGCAAGGCTACCGACACTATTAATTTTTTTTTTTTTTATATCGCCAAATAATATTACTAGGTCAGTTCACGAATTTAAAATTGATTTTACGTTTGGCAAAAACTCCCTCCAAATATGATTAGCGAATAATTTAAATGGGCGAAAACCGGTTTCATCTGATTTGAATGAGATTAATATAATTTGTGGCGTGTAACGGCCACGGTAACGGATGCTGCACCGCAGCTGGGACCGGGCGTTACTAAAGATTTAATATCTGAACATGTATAGGAACCCAGACCGGATTATTCTTACTCGATGAACCGGTAACCTTAACCCGAACCCATTTTCTTTTTAGTTCATGTCGTAAACTTTTAATTGTGTAAACATCATTTTGGGGGCCAAAATAATATTTCTTGTAAACACGCTAGCTAGATTTGATTTATTTATTGTATTTATTAATTACTAGCGTTGTTAAAAGTTACATTTGAATGGTAACTAGTTACAAGTTACGATTCTTAAAAAAATATATATTAAGGGGGGTTAAGTCTTAACAGTAAGAAGTTGTAATGCAAAGAAGCCGCTAATAGAGTTAAACCCTTCTCGGTAGCTAGAATTACAGCGTCAATTTCTATACGTATTTTCTCATCTGTTTTCAAAATATGCTACAGTGTCATATTTAATATGCTGAAAAAAATATCATAATATAATATTTATTTTTCTAAATTTGGTTATTTTATAAATTTTTCAATTTAATTTTAACCATAAACTATTTTCTCAATTTGGGATCTGGAAGGTGTGCTAGTTTATCTCACCACAAGTAATGATGCTCGATGTAAGTGAAACATTTAATTCTGATGGGGGGGGAAAGTGGGCATTGGATTTTGCGTTTTTTTCAATACTCTTATAATGGACATCTCGATGAAAATTTTGCTTTTCATTTCTTTAAAATTTATAAAAAATCCACCTATTTAATATTTTATTTCTATAAAATTATCCAAGAAATTTCTTCCTCTATTTAAAAAAAATCCAAATTTTTTTATACTAGACGCTTCATAAAGAAGCCATAATTCGTATGAGATATTTCCAAGTGTAAGAGGCATTTGGTATCCAACAATCACTCAACGTTAGCGCTCGAGGGTAAAAAGTCATCTATCGTAATTGTATTTCAATTTCGTCGTGACCGATCCATCTTATTTTCACAGGCATCTCCCCTAAGCCAGCGACTATTAAACTCTTCCCTTCCTCCCCTCCCCCCTTCCAAACCGTTGTAGTTTTTACATAGAATATCACTGGTTTCAGTTTATGTGACTAGTAAAGATGATTGAAAGTAAGTACTAATCAAGCATTACATATCGGCTCACCCAGTTGTTCGGTTGCTTATCTCATTTTCTTAGTGGCATTATGGTAATCTTGGCAATTTTTCTTTATGTGCGTTTTTTTTAAAACTATCTACCAAACGGGGATTGAAGCACTAAAATATATATACGCGCTAATTGTTGTTAAAAGTGCCGGGGTTAATGTCTCCAGAAGTTTCTGGCGTAGACTTCACGCTTAAGGCTTGATATCTTAGTATTTATATGTAAATATATTTAGGCATTACTTAATAGTTTGGTATAGGTTTTTAGAATTAGTTTTTCCAAAATCTTGACTTTACTTAACGTTTAAATTTGCTTATAATTATTTTTTTGTGTTTCTCATAAACTGATCGTGGAATTGATAAGTACTGGTCAGGCACTAAATGTTAGCTCAAACAAGATTGTATAATTCTCTTCTATACTCATTCCATTCTGACCTGATGTCATTTTTTTTTTCATATTTCGGCTAATATATTTTTTTTAAAACTTTATTCTGGTAGCATTCATAGGAATAATGAAACACGGGCACAGATTTTAGATTTTAACGGTTTCTCCGATTGTTCTGTAAACTTTAACGGAGTTGATATAAAGATATTGCATTGTCCTCTAACCCCATACGCCACAGATAATGAAATACATTTAACGTACAAAAAAAAATAACTTTACTTTTCTCGTTGCGTGACAAAAAAAATGTAACTCTGGATACCCTTACTAGTTACATTTTATCAAATATAATTAGTTTTTTATTTTTTTCTATATATATATAGTTACACTCTTTAACAACGCTATTTATATTTTAAAAAAAAATATTTTATAAAGAGAATGGATCGAGTTCAACAGATATCAAGGAATATTACAACAATATCAAAGAAAACATTAGTTTAGCCAGCGTATCTTCTGATAGTTCTTCGCCCGAATGAGATAGGATATTGTTTAAAAACTTATCTATTTAAATATATCCTTTTTTTTCCACCTTAGTTAATATTGAAAAAATGACACTAATTTGCTCGAAGAAATGATGTGACAAAAATGACTATATTTAAATTTTGATTTTGTTTTATCGGATTTATTATATATATAGAAAATATTTTGCCATTTGCATATTTTTATTTATTTTATAACCGATATTTATAATAATTAAACTTATATTTATTTTTATTATATTTATATATATTTATATATATATATATAGATATAGTTTATTTTAAATTTTATATATATTATTTTTTTTTATATCCATGTTATTTGTTGCGGTATTATTTATTATTATCGATTTTAAAACAAATATTTTAGTATAATAATATTTTATAATTAGTGTTGTTAAATTACACTACTTAACTTTAGTCAACTATAAAACAATGTAGCCATGTATTGAATCAAAAATCTTCCAATCAATCTTCAAGCTGAGACTCAACTTAGAAGCTTAATTCATTTTTTTTAGGCTTAAAGCTTGTCTTGAATCAAAAATCTTCCAATCAATCTTCAAGCTGAGACTCAACTTAGAAGCTTAATTCATTTTTTTAGGTTAAAGCTTGTCTTGAATCAAAAATCTTCCAATCAATCTTCAAGCTGAGACTCAACTTAGAAGTTTAATTCATTTTTTTTTAGGCTTAAAACTTGATTAAGCTACAATAAAGATGGTTAAAGTTAGGTAATTTTACATCACTATTTATAATTTTTTTAAAAAAAAGTGATAAAATTTTTTTCCAAAAATATGTTTATAAAAATAATTATAAATTTGTTATTAATATTTAGTACATTATATTTATATATATATACATTAAAAAATAAAATAAATAAAAACGATAATATTTTGAGGGAAAAAAAAACACAAACATATGTTCGCGCCATTGTGCCCCGTCCCACCCACCCAACTTCCCCTTCCCTCAAGAATGTAAACAATATATCGCCATAAAGAAGAATACGAAATTTAATAACCTTTTAAAACGATGACTTATATAATTCAAAATTTTTAGAAACAAAAAGCATTTTTTATATTAAAATATTAAGGGCTAACCTGAAATTATTTTTACTAAAATATAACATGGCCAAAGGCCTGCGATAAATGGACCTAAAGACCTCCAATGAAATTGGCGGGGAAAACCTAATAGTGCCATCCCCTTACCCTTAGCAAAATCCTGGATAAGCATCTCTAGTTACAAGTGAGGCAAGATATTTTGGAGACACGAATTCTGAAGCGTATATCAAATTATTAAGTATTACTTTAATCTATTTCGTAGGTCTTTAAAAGGGGACAAAAATTAATGGTAAAATAAGAAATAAATTGTCAAAAATATAAGCTATCATGGGGAATACAGAAGTTGCGTTTAATATTTATTACTTACTATACCGCTTATTATCATATTATGGTGCTTCAAAACGTTTATATTAGATAGTTTAATACCGTATTATTGCCAAGATTAGCGAATGTGTAACAACTGATTATTACTCTATGCTAATTCGCAAGTTATTCCAGCAACAGAGCCCAGTTATAAGCAAAATATTAAAAAATTGAACTGCAAACGCCTTACTCATTTAAATATCGAATTATTAAATTGCGATTCAAAAATCGAACAAGTCTAAGTTTATTAAGATTACTTTTTTTCCATGATTCTACTACGATCTTTCTATATTTTTTTTTATTGATTTTTTTTCAGTATGTTTATAGTGGACAGAAAAGTAAAATAAGTTAAAAATTCTCATATTTTGAATCCGAAATTAATTTGGTATGTAATCTGAAATCGCATATTATTTTTTTTAAAAACAATATATAATTTAAATATTATATATCGCATTTTTTAATGCTTTAGAAGAAGGTTTTCGAACCGTTAAGTTTAGCGGTTAGGTTAAATTTCGATTTTTAGTTTAAAAATTTATAAAGGTTTTTTGGTTCCATTTCGGGTTTTTTCGAGTAAATTTATTTCGGTTCGGTTTAAAATTTATAACGGTTTTTTCGGCGAGTTCCGGTTTTTTATTAATTTGATTTTTTTATAAAAATTAATGTTGTGTCAGCGTCATTGTGTTATTTTTTTAACTTCAAATCATTTTTGAGCGCGTTTTTTTTAAAAAATTTAAATATCTGATTTTACCGGAAATGTATGACGTCATGTTTTGGATTAACTATCTTACGACATCCGGTTTTGTAGTTCGGTTCGAGGTCCCTGCTTAAGAAAAATTTTTTTATTTTTACGAAGTTCTTTTTTTAGAGACATTTATTTTATAATTGATTCATAGGCCGATTACATATACATTTAATATTTTATCATTTATTTATATTAAGAATTTGTGTATTAGAAATTGTCAATGTTGTATAGTTCACTTAATCCTAAAAAATTTATGAAAATTAAGATATTCTAAAAATAACTCCTAGAATAATTCTAGAAATAACTCTTAGAATAATTTTAGAAATAACTCTTAGAATAATTTTAGAAATAACTCTTAGAATAATTCTGGAAATATATCTTAGAATAAATTTAGAAATAACTCTTAGAATAATTCTAGAAATAACTCCTAGATTAATTCTAGAAATAACTTCTAGAATAATTCTAGAAATGACTTAGAATAATTTTAGAAATAACTCTTAGAATAATTCTGGAAATAACTCTTAGAATAATTTTAGAAATAACACTTAGAATAATTTTAGAAATAACTCTTAGAATAATTCTAGAAATAACTCCTAGAATAATTCTAGAAATAACTTCTAGAATAATTCTAGAAATCCTAGAAGAAATAACTTCTAGAATAATTCTAAAAAAAAATATATATCAATTTACCCCCTCCCACCTCCCTCATAGCAAATTCCTGTGTATAGCCCTGGAAATGCTAAATAGTATACATTTTAGTTTAACGTTTTAAACAGGTTAGTAGACAGTTATAAATAAAAGAATTTATTAGCAGCCAAATAAGACAATGATTCAAGATAGAACTAAAAATATTTAAAGCAAGCTTTAACAATGAAAATAAATTAAATAAACTTAAATATAAATATTAAGAAAGAAAGAAAGAAAAAGAGTCAATTATTATCGAAAAATTAATTTTTATCGTATTTTATATGAGACTCAATGACTCTAGCTGTAGTGTTGTTAAAACCGATTTTGGTTTGTTTTAGCCTAAATAATATGATTGCAAGCCTCGAGATTTGAGCAAATAGAGGTACCTAACCCCTTGTTGCCTTCTATGAACAAAATCTCCAAGCTTACGATAATATTATTTTGGCTAAAAATTTCGGCCTTTTAACGATACCACTCGTAGCTGTAGCTTCGATACTTTTATAATTTAGTAACTGTTGGTAAACATTAAAAAAATAGTAGATATAATAACGGCATCTTTCGAGAAATGGGACTAAAATGGATCCTTTGAGGTGAAATTGTAAACGATTTAAAATAGTTAAATTTTTTTTTTAACCTTCAAGCGCTAAATGTTAACGATTGTTTTGGTGAATGCCATTGCAAATAGGAAGATGGAAGTATAGTTATTTGAAGAAAACGAACTTACGGGCACTTTCTTTCTTTCTTTAAAAACAAGCCAAATTATCGTGTCCTCGTTCAAATACTTTTTATCTTATATTAAAGAGCAATTAAGTATAATGATAATACCTAGACTGACGATTCATTCATTAAAAGTGTACATCAATGAAAACAGCTGGGGACGCGCCACTTTGATTACCCATATCATTATTGAAAATTACTAAACGAGAGGGCCAATTTATTCCAATGTCCTGACGCTGACTTTATTAAAGAATTGCCTGATCACCGAGATTGTAAAGAAGCAAGTATTTTAATAGTAGTTTTTTTTAACATGAGAATAATTATTATACGGGTTACCAAAAATGGCGGGTCCAGCTGATTTGCATTTCAACGAACGCTTTCAAATGCATTATCATGAATGCATCGTCAGTCTACGTATTATTATAATTATACTGACTAAAAAACAATTAAGTCTCCGAATTAAGCCATCCATAGGTCACGGCCTAGTAATTTAAAATTACTCTTTAAAAATTTTTCCAATTTTTAATATAACTATATAATCCCTAAAATAAACCACCCATCAATCAACCTACTGTTTCTAAAAAGAGAATCTTGAACCACTCTGGTTCCCTCGTTCTCCCTAAACGATGGCGCTGTTCCCTTTCAATTCCAATCTGATTTTTTTTTAAAAAAAAGAAGGAAATAAATTTTGTTTTATTGGATTCACATTCAAGACACAAAATACAATTTTTAAATATTAAAGTTTTATTTAAAAGAAAATAATATTAAATATGAATATAAACACAAAAGTTTAAAATAAATATATTTTAAAATTTTCATAATTTCATGTAAATGGTATCATTCTTGAATCAAGGTTTAGGGGTTGTAAACAAACCTATATTGAATTTTTGAAAATGATATATAAAAATAAAAAATAGAACAGCTGATCTATTTTTTAAAAAAATAAAAACACGTGATCAAGATTTGATTCCCAATTCGCGATGACAACTTATTACAATCTATAAAATAAATAAAAAAATCAAAACCTCACATTTAAAAAGATTATTTTTATTTTAAAAAAAACATCAATCAATCACCTGTTAAATTGAGTGGCATTGCATTGGTGACAATTTAATGTGCATATACTCCTTATTCGAAATTTACATGAGATACAGAATTGAAAGCAACATGCATGAGACATACACGCCACCTACAACCTGAATTGTTTTATTTTCTACCCCCCCCCCCTCCCCATGGGAGCTTACCCCTAACACTCCAAGGGCGGGAGGCAAATATTAAAACAATGAAAGCTAACAAAATAAAAAGGGGAGATGGGAGGAGAAAGAAATAAAAAAAATATTTATATATTAATTTAAAGAATAAAAAACGATTATTATATTATTCCAACTACTATCTTACCATGCTTAAAATCAATATATTTTCTGTTATCTTACTTATAACTGAAGTTTTACACAAAAAAAAATATGATATACTATATCAGATAACAAAAAAACATTCCTAAAATCTTTAAGGTATGAGGAGAATCCCCCCCCAAAAAAAAACTGATTTTAATTATTAGAATTAATTTTTTACATTGAT